GCTGATTAGGCAAGTCTTTGTTCCAATGGATGCCGAGGCTATTCTGAGGATTCCCGTATGCACCCGTCAAGTTGATGATTTTTGGGCATGGTCAGAGGATCCGAGAGGCCGTTTCTCTGTCAGGACAGCATACAACATGATATATCGCATAAAGAGTGGAAGAGAAGCATGGTTAGAGGAAGGAGAGCATACTTCCAATCTCCAGGGACTGATGAAGAGCTGGTCGGCCTTATGGAAGCTAAAGGTGCCGTTGAAGCTGAAAGTATTCACTTGGAGACTTGCCCAGCACTCGCTACCAACAGGAGATCTTCTGCAGCATCGAAACATGTCCACTACAGATGTCTGCGGAGTGTGTGGGGCGCAGGATAGTTGGCGTCATTCCCTACTAGACTGCGCCATGTCCAGGAGCACATGGGCTCTGTCGAAGGAAGAGATGGTTCAACATATGGCGATGAACCGAAGTAACAATGCAAAGGAGTGGTTATTCTCCATGTTTGATTCGCTGCCCAGCGACGAGCTTGTAACCATGATCGTCACCCTTTGGGCGATCTGGTCTGCACGGAGGAAAGTAATACATGAGGGAATTTCCCGACACCTTTTGCAACCCATTGCTTCATATCGAATTATCTGTTAGAGCTTCAGTTTTTGGAGAAGCAGAAGGAGAAGAAGGCACCGGCTCCTAGATCGGCGGAGTGGATCCCTCCTCCAGAAGATCACTTGAAAGTCAATGTTGATGCGGCGGTTGCGATACATGGTGGTTTTGGGATAATAGCGGCCATTTGGGACAAAATCAATGTTTGATTAGTCATGAATTTAAGACCTCGAATGTTGAGGCTCACAAACTTGTAAAGCATGCGTTATCACTGGGTTTTGGCCGCCATGTTTGGTTAGGTCACCCAGAAAATTTGGATTTCGTCCCTGTAAACATTATGACGGGTGAATAAAAGCTTTGCGAGTTTGTCTCAAAAAAAAAAGACAAGAGTGGTAAACCTGAACGTTGATGGCTTGATACTGAATAAAGTGCTAAACCTTCTTATTCTTGTCTCGCTTGACAGTTGACACGCAAACGTGTGAACAGGGTGTGCCACTAACCCGCGGCTTCGGGTGGCTGTTGATCACGCGTCTACTACCGAGGATATTTTGTGGACTGTGCGACCTATCGAAGAAATTTGCATTTCGTAACTATATATGGCAGGAGTACAATATCCCAGAGTGGACATTCTAATGATTCCATATTTGGCTCAATCTATTCGACTGTGCATTAGTCCAGAAGGTCAGTGGCTCTGGCTACTATACCGCTGGTACACATATGAACGCATAGAAATCTTATAAGCTAGTTGTTACATGGGAATCAGAGGTGTCATAATCATGCTACTGGCGAAATGGGGGATATATGTGTACGTGCATGGTCTAGAGCCTTATACAGAAGCAATAGCTTAGATATCATGATTCTCTTGACTTCTGTTGTTGATGACAAAGACATGGCAAACAGGGAGCTGAGAAGGTGAATAAATCATCCAACTGTTATGGCTCAGTTTTCATTATGAAATTGATTAGCTATGCTCATAGACCACTAATTGAACTAGTTAATGAATCAGTCTGCATGCTGGTTTAGATTATTGCTAATAGTCACACGGGTAAGGGGTAATTGAAAATCAGATCTCTACCTTCTTTGCAAATTTGCGTCTTTCGCTTCACAACTTTTGACCATTGCAATTTTTTCCAATATTGTTCTAGGAAGAAGACGTAATATTGTATCCGAAATGCATCACAGAATCCTTTCGTGGCTTTGATGCAAAAAATTTAGAAATTTTGCGTGATTTACTGGTCAAAAAGGTTGATTGTACGCATTCTACGGTGGCAAATAAAAGAGAACAGAGGGTGTAGTAACCTCACTGTTTCGTAACCCCTTCCCTTGTTTTATCATGACTCACTAATGGGAGCACAACCACATGAGCTGCTAATTAGAGTCCTATATGTAGCATAGCTAGAATGAAATGCGTTGAACTTGAACGGGGCTCTTCTGCGTTCAAGTGGAGAAACGTTGGATGACAGTGGTACACACCTTGTCAGCTCTCCCTAACCAGGTCTTGGATTCTTGCATGAATATTGTGCGATCCGGCCCCACGCTACATCCTATCATATTGTCATGGGAAATCCACCATTTTTGTGATGAAAAACATAGTATCATGGTAGGAAATCCACCAAAGAGATCATCTCACAGGTCGATCATACATGTCGATGGCACAGTCGTTAGAGCCTGATCGACGAACAAACGACTTCTGTCCGGTTCTCATAAGGCAATCCTGATCCTACAGAGATGATCTAATTTTCCCTGCAGAAATGAGATCAGCGTAACAAAGAAAGTACACCATCATCCCTGAATTTCCAAGGGTTGACGCTCTAGAAGCTATATGATCTCCCCCTCTCCATGTTAGACAAGGAGACTTTGATGTCACCATGCATATGGCAAGTAGTCTTCTGAAGTTCCACCTGAGAGGTACCCCTGCCTGCTACCAACTCACAGCTACACATGCATGCATGCACACATGGACAGTACATTCTCCTAGTCATGAGTCATGACATGTATAATATTTCTAGTGGCATGTACTATGCAGGTTGGCATGCACGCATGCAACTTTAGTTTGGCCTATCCTTTTCCCCCAAACCTTTTTTTTTGGAAGACACTTTTCCCCCAAAGCTGGTTGTACATTTAGATGTGAAAATGATATCTCTGGGGTGTAATCATCAGTGCAAACATGCTCAGAGGCAGCTAGCTAGCTTCCTCCTGGTTCCTACAGGGTTTCACAGTTCACATTTGAGCCACTTACAGTGCAGTGCAAGCCCATGGCTAGCTAGATCCCAAACAGGTGAAGAACTATTTTTTAGCTGCAACACCTTTCGGATAAAGTTGGGCAAAGGGTGAAAAATGACTTGCCCGGTGATGATGATTACAGATAGGGACACAAGGCAGAAGAACCTAGGGCCAAGATGCATTATTGGCTACTGGAACTAGAATATGATGGCATGCATGCCATGCATGGCAGTAGTTCCCATCTTGGATTCCCTTGTTGTGGAAAACATAGGATCCATGCACAAAAGGGAAAAGGGTGAAATGAAAGCAAGCTAACAAAGATACATAAAAGGAGCTTGTTGAATTAAGCATATTAACTAAAAGCAATATTCCCTTGTGAGTAAATTGCACATATGTATGCGTGCTGAATAAGGAACTTTGGTCACTTTTCAGCCGAGATCCGCGTCCCATTGCTCGGTTAATGGTGGATTTCTTTTTGATTTGTTTTGTATGATAATCTTATATTTGGAAAGCTGTTCCAGAAATAAGTTGTGGTAAGTGTGGCTCAAGTGAGTAATTAAAATAACAAACAATATATTTTAAAGCAATAGATTATTGAAACCGCAAAAATTACAATAATCCACCATAATACAAACCAAAACCTATGAAAGTGCCATTCTAATCCTGAGCTCAAATGCTCCACTATGAACAGTAAAATGGAAAGAAAAACAAAGATTATTTTTCAAAAAAAAGTCTGATTTTTTTACAACAAACATTGCTTAATTTCTTCATGTGCTTTTGTACGGAAATCGCATTCGTGGAGGTCTGGAGTTTTTCTAAAAAAACAGCACTACAAAATGCTTCCAAAATTAGTCTTTTGAAGCATCGATTTTGTTCTTTTTCGCTCAGGGCATCAACATTGTCTTCACGGAAATTTGCATGTATATAGAACATTCAATATTTTTTGTTGATTTTTTTTGAATTATTCTATGATTTAATTCTTGACGGTGGTGCATTTGAGATCAGGAGCAGGATCTTCATGTCCCCCGAACGTACGAATTTTGTCGTGTGCTTAAATTTTTTTAAGGTCGTGTGCTTAATTATTTGACCAGTCATGCTTCTTGCACCCTTTTTTTGTGAGGAATGCATCATGCACCTTTAGCAAACAAGGATTCGAGGATATTATCGGTTCCCAAGGCAAAAAGGAGAAGACTCTTACTAGCTTTTTGTTCAATTTGGAGATGTGTTGGGTGGTTGTGAGCCATGTCGCCCTTGTTTGTGCACTTTTCTGTTCTCCTTTCCTCCTCTGATCCCTACTCCACGCTCTAGCATGTTTTATATTGGGTTTGACTGCTCACAAGTCGACTGGATTTTTTTACAAACAAGATTAAAAAAAGCTAGTCGGCTGAAATTTTCTTACAAACCAGTTGACGAAATCTTTTGGACAAAGACGACTACTAGAATGTTTTACACACCGGAGGAAAGACACAAATAAAATTAAGTTCGGTGACAAAAAAAAAAGAATCATCGACACATTAAGAACACAAGTTCCGGCCGGCCAAAATAAAATGCCAGAGAAGAATGAGAACATATCCAACAAAACAAAAAAATAGTTGCCTAAATTTGAAATGTGCAGCTACCGTAGATTAAAAATGCACTGCATAGTGAAAAAAGAAAAATTCATTTCTAAAAAAAGCATTTGCAGTAAACAAGAAATCAACTGCAATAAAAAAGCACAAGTGTGTGACAGAAAAGAAAATTCCAGTCGACTCATGTCCAGCAAGTCCGCTATATTTTTGTGTTTCTTATATGTGCTTTCTTGGTTGGGCCTACTTCAGTCATTTTAGTCAATAAAATAGCTAATTGTTGTTTTGCCAAAAAGCATATACCACCCTTCCAAAAAAACACATATACAGCCTGCTAATATATGCATTTGCAATTATTTAATATGCATTACCTCCACCACATCTTCACTAATTACATTATCCACCAACAATCTTATGACAACACTGCTTTTTCTATTTTATTATTTCAAAAAATCAATGAAGAAAGCTAGAGAAAGATCATGTATATATATATACCCCATCCCCAAGCCAAGATCCCTCGCACGCACCCACACCCATGCACATATCATCCTCACCATCATCAACCCATCATCCTCACTGTTAGCACACATTTCTAAACCCAAAAACCCAAACGCTCCTCCATGGAGGACCACGGCGCCGGCTGCCACCCCCTGCTCCACGGCCACCTCCAGCCGGCCCACGCCGCGCTCGCCTACGGCCCGTGGGACTCGCCCCTCGCCGCGTTCGACGACGGCAACCAGCAGCAGCAGCAGCTGGAGTGCTTCTCGACGGCGTCGGAGCTGCGGGACGCGCTGCTGCGCGCGCTGGCCGAGCTGGAGGCGGCGCGGGGCGCGCACCGGGAGGAGCTCCGGCGCGTGGAGCACGAGGCGGCGCGGCTCGTGGCGTGCGCGGCCGCCGAGCGCGACGAGCTCCGGCGCCACTGCCACTCCCTCCTGCTCCTGCTCCACCACCACACCGCCGCCCAGCAGCCGCCGCCGCAGAGCGTGCCCGACCCGCCGCTCCACGGCGTCCTGGGGCTGGGAGGAGGAGGAGCGGGCGCCATGGACGAGGCCGCCACGTCGGAGGAGGAGGCGGAGGTGGAGATGGCGCTGGCGCGGCGGCTGCCGGAGAAGGGCCGGCTGGTGGAGGCGGTGGTGTCGGCCGGCCCGCTCCTCCAGACCCTGCTCCTGGCCGGCCCGCTCCCGCGCTGGCGCCACCCGCCCCCGCCCGCCTCGGCCGACGTCATACCGCCCTTCAACCCCGGCCGCCCCGACGGCAACTACTCCCTCTCGTCCGCGTCCGCGTCGTCGTCGCCGGAGAGCAACTGCAGCGGCGGGAACGCCCCGCCAGCGGCAGCTCAGCCGCAGCAGCACGCGCTCCCCTGCTTCCACATGAGCTCCTCCTCCTTCTGCATGTAGCGGCGGCACGTGTCATGCAGACCACTAATGGATCTGTCACTGCCGCTTGCACTACTACTGCTAATTATAATCACGTCCGTATAATGCTCTACCACGGTCTGGGATTAGTATAGCTACTTAGCTAGTATATATAATTATATAGAGTGATTAATTAGTAATTTAGCTGGTTATTATGTGTGGTGAAGTATCAAATAATTGTTGTTGCCTGGTTAATATGTGTTTAATAATTATTAAAAGTGGGCAAAGATGCCATCACTTTTGTCAGTGAGAGGATGCATATATGTGTATGTATTTGTGTGGTACTACTAGTAGTACATTCACTCTTTGAGTGACCACTGCACAAGAATGCACTGGGTCGCAATAATGCCGGAAGGTGATCTCTGCATGGAAAGCGATCTCTCGAGCACTCACGTCCTTCGTTCAAGGTGATGAGCATGGCTACAGTGTATTGAACAAAAATCGCGATAAACATGATGGAATGGATGGAATTAATGCAAAATAAGCCACCCTTTGGTACGAAGATTTTAATTTGAATGATCCATATATTGTTTTAGGAGCGACTAGGGATTTAACTTTTTGCCAAGGGCGACGAGGGAATTAACCAACTCTCATCTGATTTTATAAGTTGGTCATAGATATCCAAAAACATATTCATATTTTGGTTTTCATAGCTTAGAAAAAATAAATCTTGCACGGCTCTCAACGTCAGATCCACGGTACACGATGTGGCTTTGACGTTGAGAATTAGCAAACGCGTGTTTTTTATGGAGACCCTCTCGTAGGCTTTTTTGTGGGGATGTCTCATGTAAACATCCTTGAATCTAGCTAGAGAATAGTTTCTTTTTAAAGCATTGTTATTGGCTTTAAATTTGAACTAAATACCTAAAATCTAAAGAAATGCCCCTCATATAAACACCCTCAAGAAGTGGTCTTTGGCAGTTGTTCTGGAATTCAACAGCATAAATCCAAGATATTCTGAACAAGTGTGTGCAACTGTGGGTGAGATAATAGAGACCGTTAATTCATCTATAATAGTAGAAAATAAGTGGAAAAAAAACATCACCATGATCATTAATATGTCTTAGTCCATTAACCTTAAAACATATTCTACATCTGTTTTTTTAGAAGGTTGAAACTCTCGGCCTCTGCATCATTGTGATGCATACAACCATTCTTATTAATTATTAAACATAGTACATAACGAATACGACCAATACGAAACCCTTACAAGATATGAAATAAACACCTATGATTAAGTCGACTTCTTCTACAGCAACGCCTTCAGGGCTACACCCGTTGAAGGTGTTGTTGTGAAAAATTCAATTTACTGACGAAACAAGTCCCATTTGGTAATATGCCTTAGTCCATTAACCTTAAAACTTATTATACATTTGGTAATACGTATATTTTGAAACACCGACTCAAGTAAAATGTTATGCCACCGAAGACGGGTAGCAGCTAGCGACAGATGCACACAACCAACAAAGTCCGGTGTGTATGCATGTAGGATAGCACCTAGCTGTTGCATCCTTGTATAGTAGCACGAAAATACTATGCAGTGATTGTAGCATAGAACTTTTCTTATTTCCTTTAGGGAGTAGCAGTACCATATGATACTTTTACTAGACCAGGTTCTGAACTTTGCTAGTGAGTAGCATATGGGACCAACATGGATTCCACACAAACATACTCTAGTTCAAACTTCAAACAGGCCTTGCTGCTTGCTTTGTGTCAGTGCAAATTGGCCGGTGGGCCAAGCCTCTGTATTGACAGGCAGTGGGCCCTGCACCTCTCTGGCACAAGGTGGGGCCGTCTGTTCTTGCACTCGGTTGATCACAGCCGTTTATTTTCCCTTTCTCTGACGAAACAACTCGAGTGCTACACAGTCACGCAGCAGGCACGCAACAGCGTGCGTTCAAACGGAGCATGCCTCGTATACCTTATACGCAGGTACAATGGTTCTCTACGTATACATATACACCTGGAATGAATACCGCAATATGTCTTTTCAATGTATTCACATACAAAATACGTAAGCTGTATTAGAAATATCATGGTGTGAGCACTGAAAACCAAATTTGTATGGAAAATAAAATCTGAAGATAATGTGTGAGAAGAAACTGCAAAGTTTTCTAGCGAGGCATATGCAAGCGTGGCATATGCATGGCGGCAGCATCGGATCATCCATACGTACGTACGTCCGAGGCCAGGAAAAGGAGGTAGAGAAAAGTGTATATAGCCTAGCCTCTAGACTACTTCATCCATACATCTAGAGTATATCCTCTTTAACGTTTTGGACTTTTTTTCCCTGTGGCTAGCCCCAGCTCAAGGGCCACCCAATGTGCAGCACATGGTGCACGCATGCTTGCTTGTTGGCTCGTTGCTCCAAGATATCTTTGAATATGTATGGGTGATAAACTTGTGTGTGCATTACAACTTTTTCATAACATGCATGGATTAGTTTCCCATGGAAAGGAAAAGGGGAGGTCGTTCGTGTTCCATGGGAGGGATGCATGGTTGATCACTTGATCTCATGTTGATGATTTCTCCACGTGATTTCCTTGAGATGGTATATAAATATATGGTTATCTATGGGAAAATACCATTGAAACTACTAACAAAGAATATATGTATTCCAACAAAGGTTATATGAGTGTAAGGCACACCGATGTGCAAAATAAGCCATGTACTAGGTCGGTGCGGTGGTGGGTTAATGTTGGCTTGCTATAAAACCATAGCCCAAAATGTAATTGAAAATTGTAGGAAAAATGTCAAGAATTGTACGTGAGATTCCCGCTCGTCATGGCATGCCAATCCAACGCGTATATGGAGTGATTGATGGGTAGTTAACAATGAACCATCACATAGTTGTTTCCCACAAGCCGCATTTTCCAAATGGATTGCCAATGGAGTGTGCGTCGATGCACTAGTCGACACGTATCACTACACTAGCGGCGATGTGACTATCGTATATTTTATGTCTATGCAATTATAATGGTACACTTTTATACTGGCAAAGTGGTTGATGCACATCCTACAATCCCATATCTCTCAGGACCACAAGGTCCACTATAAATTTGTAGTGCTCGGATCAAGCTTACACCCACCTTTGGATGTAAAACCACATGTAAAAGAGAAAATTTTGGCACTATGCATGCTAACCTCCAAACGGTGTCATAGGTGCCATGTGAGTAGCAACACACCCCCACATGCTTGCTATGGCTTATCGACCTTGCACACTCAAAAAATCAGCCTCTCCATGGACATGCGTGCTGCCTCCCCTTAGCCTCTTTTGGACTGGTCCATAGCAACAAGGGAGGAGGATAATGCCATTGCTATTGCTACACTGCCAAACAATGTGGTGCATCTAGAAACATGTGTACCACCCTAGCTAGATCCATTCATGCATCTTTAGATTATTTTTATTTTTATTTTTGCTCGCCAGTTTCTCATGACTCACCATAGTGCGAATCACATCCAGGATATGTGTATCAAAATTGCTCATGAGTCACTGGTGTGCCAATCACATCGTGTATCAAATAAGGGGGGAGCAGCATGGTGAGGAATTGACTAGTGATACTCTAGCTGCATAGGTAGCCATGAGAGCTATGCTCTCTGCTTTCCGAAAAGGAGAAGAAGGGAGGAGGGAGCAGAGATATAAAATCTTTTCAATCATAGGCTACATAATTTTTGCTCACTAGGCACTTGTTTCTGTCTCAAGGCTGCAATCACAGCCTACGTGCTGTCCTTGCTCTGCACTGCCCTGCTTTATCTTGAATTTTTTGTGTGTGTGTTTTTAAATTTGTTTGGCCTCGGAGAAAGCAGGACCCTGCCACTCAAGTGCTGCGAGACTGCACGGGTATGCATGCTACGTGGATGAGTGGGCTGGATATCATCATATATAATAATAATATCTATCTGATTCCCTCATTATTTATTTATGACTTTTTTTAGATGGTTCTAGAGTATACATTTTTTGTGAGAGAATGTACGTAGTATGCCTGGGTTTACAGAGTTGAGGTGGTTCTCTATGGATGTTTTTTCACATTAGTTTTGTAGCATTGTGAAGAAAACATTTATTCAAAAGTTTTAAATTCAGGTAGTTTTCTCAGGAAAGGTTGTTGACATGCTTCTGCCCACAGAAAGGTACCACGTTTGTACCGACTCAAGTTGCCAACATGATTATAGTTACCCCATCCTTGTGACAGCTTAAATTCATACATAATATTGTTTTGAAGTTGCCGTATATATGTATTTTTAAATGTAGTTGTAGAACTAAATGCACATTCGCCCTCGGGAGCAACAAGCTAGTTTCGCTCACATCGGAACTCTTCTATGTGCACGTAGTTTTAGTTTCTAGACGGACAGAATTAAACCATGGAAAATTCGTTGGTGTAAAATAGGGAGAAAATCAAGTAAGGGCATGCATGCATGGTTCGACGGTATGATATGGTTGGAGGCATTTGGAAGATGCACAGGCAAGTCATGTTTGCTGGATGAAAAATAGAAGTGTGAAACATGCACAAAGCTGGCATCTTGAGAGGAAAAATAAAAGAGTTGTGCAGTGCAGGTGAGCACCAAAGGCTTAAGAGCATCTTCAACACAGACCCTCAAACCGTACACAACCGTCCCAACCACGCGGTTCAGATGAATTTTGCCATCCAACATGCTCATGTATCCGTCCGCTGGCTTAAAATACCAAAAGGAGGTCCTGCTGGTGTCTTGAGAGAAAAAAAAGAGAGAGCTGTGCAGTGCAGCTGAGCACCAAAGGGTTAGCATACCAAAAGAAGGTGCAGCTTTTTTAGTGATTCTATATTTCTATGAGTATGTCTCGACCAGTAGGTAGAGCACCAATTCAAGCTGCATCAAGTCGTTTGAAAGGGAAAAAAAAAACTACAGAAACTACCCCCAAAAAAAAACCAAGCTATATCAAGACTAAGTCAAGTTCCTTTACTGAAGGAGTGAGAATACAGAATTTACACCACCTAGGTTCGATTCTC